CCCCCCCCCATCTAACGATGAAACCATGATCACCGGCCCGACCACATCCCCCGGCAATGGCGTCGTCGGGGGCTACACCGGCCACAGTATGGCCCTCCGCATCGCCATTGCCACCCTGGCCGCCATCAGCTGGTACAACGCCGTCGAGCTGGTCATCCTCGTCTTCGTGACCTTCGCCCAGTTCCGGGGCCCCTACTTCTGGTCACTGCTGATCTCCTCGCTGGGGCTGATCCCCTACTCGACCGGCTTCCTCCTCAAATACTTCGACCTGGCGCCCGCCGCCCTGTCCGTGACGCTCATCACCATCGGGTGGTACACGATGGTGACGGGCCAGTCGGTGGTGCTGTACTCGCGGCTGCACCTGGTGCTGCCCAACGCGCGCATCCTGCGCCAGGTGCGGTACATGATCACGATCGACGCGTGCCTGCTGCACCTGCCGACGACGGTGCTGACGTACGGCTCGAACCTGGCGCCGCGCAAGGCCGCCTTCATCGCCGGCTACAACATCATGGAGAAGATCCAGATGACCTGCTTCTGCCTGCAGGAGTTCATCCTGTCGGCGCTCTACATCTGGGAGACGGTGCGCATGCTGCGCCTGGACCCGGACCGCGGCAAGCGCAAGATCATGTACCAGCTCGTGGCCATCAACCTGATCATCATCTTCTTAGACCTCGCCCTGCTAGTCATCGAGTACCGCGACCTCTACATCATGGAGACCATGATCAAGGGCGTCATCTACAGCGTCAAGCTGAAGCTCGAGTTCGCCGTCCTCGGCAAGCTCGTCCTGCTGGTCCGGGGCCATCACGTCTGGAAGTGCGACTCCGCCCTCGCCGTCAGCAGCCCGCCGCCGCCGCCGACCGCCGTCGGCGACGAGCAGCAGACCACAAGGACCCTGGCCGATTACCCGGATTTCGTCGACGCCACCCGCGTCACGTCGGACCTGACGCACCCGGGCACGCACGCGCCCCTCGCGACCCGCCGCCGGTCGCACCCCTGGATGGACAGCGAGGACGTCTCGATCGCCATGTTCGAGCACGCGACCTGCACGACCACGCGCAGCAGCACGACGCCGCGGAGTCTCAGCGGGCGCCGCCGCCTCGACCATCCGCGCACGGGCCACTCGGACGTCTCGGACGGCTCGCACGTCTCGCACTCGTGGAGCGGCGAGACGCAGACCAACCACTCGTTCCTGTCGGCCACGGGCCAGGAGCGGGAACTGAGTCCGGCCGACTTTACGGGAAACTGGGGGAAACCCCGGGGGAGTTTATAGACCCCTATATCATGATTGATGCGTTATGAGGTTATGCGGGGTGTTTTGGCAGTCCAGCCCGTTTAGTATATTGGGTAGTAATTCATGCACATATTGATTCCGGACTGTTTTCTGGCGAAGGAACAAGGAACGCGACCGTGGACCTCTAGTAAACATGACGTATCCCGGATTCAGGGGAGTGAGTCTTACGGGATGGATACGTCAAACCTGCCCGCCGGGACGAGTACGGATACTCCTTGCGGTACGGGCCCCAGTGCGGGACACAGCCCAAAGTGGAACCCTGAACCACCGGAATGGGGATTGTGGATTGTGACGGCTGCAACCCGCCCGGACCATCTCCTGGACCGTGGTAGCCGGTCCACGGAGGGACCGTCAAATGAGTTTACTCTACGGAGTATTTCCCTTGATTTCCATGATAGTCTCCGTACCCAACTCTCCCCGGTCAGAGACAAGCACCAAGGCACTGACTGTCCTGCACTGTCCGCTGACTCCGTCCTCCGTCCTCCCATCACCAAGCTAAAGCACTCGACAGGTAGTGCGTAGTCCTCTGGGCGGTACGGTACGGTACTATACCTACCTAGTGCAGGGGGGCCAAGCCGTCCAATCGGATGGTTTGTGCTGGTTGCCTTCCTTGTCCGGCCTGCTGAGGCTTGTCGTGCTTACGGCCACTGCACCTAACATCCCCCCATGGGGAAGCTGGTCGTGGTTCCCTGCGCCTCATGTTCATTGTTCGTGTCCATCTCACTATCCCTAGGAAGGGAACTTGCAATGCTTGAACGGTAGTAGGGAGTCGCCTCGCGCAGCAGGATACACGTGTAGTCAGTGAGGCCTTCTCCCCTGTCTTTCTTCCCACACACAGTCTGCCCGCTGAAGACTTGCATGGAGGTATGCACAGCAATAGGTGGGATTTTCTCCCTAGCACACTCGTGATTCTTACTCGAGGGGCTCTTGTTCACAGAGGAATCAGAGTTCATCGCGACTAATCAGCCGGATTGCCTGTATGATTTATACTGTACGCGCACATTCTCAGTCTACTACCACGCCTGACGGAGACCTAGAAGGCGCACTTCATCGTCACAGACACGGAACCACCTCACGAAAAATCATAATCATTACAATAGCAACGAGTCCCATCTGATCAAAATGGTCAAGACTAATCACACAAGAGAAAAAAACGCCTTATCCAGCATGCTGGATGCATTTGCACCTGCAAACTCCAAGCGCCAATTCAAGCCATATGGACACCACCAGTAAAAACTCCAAACGACACAGGAAGTCCCAAGTCGGAGGAACACGCTACACAATCTGATGCGAGAGAAAAAAAAAAAAAAAAAAAAAAAAAACAGCAACTACCCCACTTCGTAGTCCCCAACTCTGTGAAAAAATGAATCGGCGCACATGCTATTCAACATTTGGAAATCATCATGAGATGCGGATCGCACGACTCCATGCAACGCTCAATCATTCATGAACGGCTCTTGGGCTGAGACAGCAGATGCAAACGGCTCATGGTCAGCACGCCCCGGTTGCGAGCACGAGCACTGCCCGGGGTGGTGCTGGTAGTGGCGGTGGTGCTGGCGCGTCCCGCCGAGGGTCGGGTTGCAGAGCGGAGCGGAGTGTGGGAGCGGGGTTTGCTGGGCGTGGGGGTACCTGCCACACTCGAGGCCGTATCCTTAGTAGCACTGTGAGCACTGGGAGTGCCCGTGGCCTTGGCGAACAGAGTGGAAGCACGGCCGGTCTTCTTGAACGGCGACGGCGACAGCGCGCTCATCTTGAGGCGCTTGGCGCTGCGCGCTCCCGCATTATCGGCTGGAGGCACGTTTTCGGCATCAACATCCTCTGCCTCGACGGCTGTGCGGTTGCGCTTCTTGTGACCAATCCCGTGGGGAACACCGGCAATCTCGGGCAAGGAACTAGCGTCGTGCTTCTCTTCCTCAACGGTAGGACGGTTGCGTTTCTTGTGGCCGATACCGTGGGGCACGCCGGCAATCTCAGGCAGAGGAGTAGCGTCCGAAGGACGCACCTGGCGGATAGTAGGTGTGGACGCCTCGCTGTTTTTGGTGGTGCTGCCGATCTTGCTGGGGCTGCGGGCGTGGTCCGGGGTCAAGGTAGGTAGAGTAGGGTAAACAATGTCAGAAACCACCCGAGAGGCACTTGCGGTGGGAACTTTCGAAGGAGAAGGCGAGAACACGGTTTCCTCCGGAGCATCCTTCACACAAGGACTGAACTCGACGCGCTTCTTGGGAGAGGGAGTGTGCGAGGGCTCCTCGGTGGCGTCCCGCGACGAGCCGAACAGCATGTTCGAGCTGAAGTCGGGAGCCGCCACATGGGTGCCTGCGGCGATCTTGAGGGGGTCTTGGGAGAAAAGCTGGTGGGGCTGACGGAGGATCGACCGGAGTTGGCTGAAATTGGGAATGTTGCTCTTCAGCCGGGGGTTGAAGTCGGTCTGAGGCGTGCGCGGAACCTCCGGCTGCGTGGGGGCTGGGGAGCGGACCAACGAGGGAATCATCGAAGTGCGAGCAGGTCTCACGGTCGACGCACGCGCCGCCGAGGCTCGGGTCGGAGTCATCAAAGACTTGCGGAAAGAGTGCTTGGGACGCGTGAAACCGGGCTTAGGGCTGTTCAGAGTCGGGAGACGACTGGTTGAGGCGTCGTCAGTCTGGTTGTGCTTGACGCGTTTAGCTGAAGCGGTAACCGGAGCAGGAGAGGGCCGTGCAACGGGGGCCTTGAAAGGCGAAGGCGACTTGCTGTCGGTCTCGTCCAATCGTGCCTTGGAGTTGGTTCTCTTGAGAGTCTTCTTCTCGATGACCGGCTGGAAGCGACCCGGAGCGGCACGGAAGGCCGAGGGATGGTTTGCGATGGAGTCCATCTTCTTGAATTCGGCCATATGAGCATCGGTAAAACGGTCGGTCTTTCCCTTGGGCTGCACGATCTTTCTCTCGGTAGGCTCGGGGTTGTCCTGTGCGCTGTTGGCCCGATCCTTGACCATCTGCGCCTTGATCTTCGCGGCGTCCAGGCGCACGCTCTCCATGAGCTTCTTGGCCTCGTCGCTCAGCTGGGCCTCTTGGCTGGCAAACTTGAACTCAAACGCAGGGGTGCCATAGTATGCCGACGCGGGGGAATCTCTAGCCTTGGTCGGAGTGCTCTCAGTCGCGGTGTCCTTGATGACGTTGCCTTGGGCATCCTTCTTGACGGGGTTGAACCCCAAAACCAAGCCGGAATCGGGCTGCTTAGTGGTGCTCTGGTGGACCTTGCTGGGGTGCATATCCTGGTGGGAAGGACGCGCCATGACGGTGGAGGGGGTCTTTGCACCGGGACCCTTAGCCGCAGCGGGTGTAGCCCTGGGCGGGGTGGCAACGCTCGGGATTCTGGAAGGGGCGGTGCCCTTGACTGGCGAAGTCAACTGGGTAATCCTCTTCGGGGTCGCCTCGACTCGCGCGGACGCGGCATTGGGAGTTTTCTTGGGCGTAGCTTCGGCGCGATCGGACGCGTCGCCGGCGCCCTTCTTGGGGGTCTCTCCGCTCTTGGAGAACGCGGCGCTCTTCATCTTCTTGAATGTCGACTCGGCCTTGTCGAACGCGGCAGTGATGGATCGCTTTTTCGTCCGCTCCACCCTTGCGGATGCGGCACGCGTAAATTGGGCTTCGGTTTCCTTGGATGCAGTTTCGGGGGCTTCGGCTGTAGCAGGAGCAGGCTGAGGAGGTTCGGGTTTTTCGCTTGCGGGAGCAGACTTCTTGTCCACTACAGCAGGGGCGTTGTCGGCCTCACGTTCAGGTTCGGGATTGGGTCCAGAGGTGTTGACAACGGCGGTCTCCTCACGTTCAAGAACAGGGGGTAGATCGGTAGGTTCGTGGGTGGGTTGGGATTTCTTCTTGCTCCTGGTGGTTCGTTTGTTTGGCTTCTCAGGGAGCTGGTCGTTATGTCGATTGTTGACGTGATCTTTGTTGACGTGACTGTGCTCAGCGGGGCCAGGTGGTGGCTGAGGTTCCTAAGCGGGTCATCCAGCGTCAGTGACTTGAGGCACACAGGGTAGCATTCCAGACCCCCTCCCTTCCTTGGATCTCACCTGATCCTTCACGTTGACGGGTGGTGGGATGCTCGGATGGGCGAATGGCTTACCTCGGACAAGGACGCATCGCGATTGCGCAGACGGGCGGACCGTCGGACCGCCATGGCTGCTATATACAATAAATTGGTGATGGGAGGTGACAAAGTACGGGGATGAAAGGGGTGATATCGAGGGTATAACAGTGGCAATGCACAAGAATGACGACAGGAGGAGGATTGAGCACATGAGGTAAAAGGGCGAATAAACAAAACAGCGGCCAGGCGGTGAGCTGACGTCAAAGCTTAGATAAGTGATCACGTGCATGCATACCGCCATATTCATTCTACTGCTTGATCTTATCACTAACCAACAATTAACAACAGACACCAGAATGAGCCACTACAATCCAAAAGGATATGTTTCCTCCATGCCCATCACCGTTTTCGGCTGCACCGTCTCCAGCGGCTTCACCGCCTCCGTCTCATCGAACCAGATATACGCGTCGAACTGCTGCTGCAGGTCCGCCTGCGAGTAATGCGACATGCGTTCGGTGTCCGGCCGGTAGATGACGCCAATGAACCGCTCAAGCCTATGACTCTCAGCGGCCATCGCCTCCTTGAGCCGGGGGCTGATGCGCCCCTCGCGCAGATCCCACACGAAACGCGGGATACCCGTGTGATGGGCCACCCACTCCCAGCTATCGGGCCTCGAGGGCCGGACGGCCATGATCTCCATGTCCTCGTCCCACTCGTGGGCGGCGGCGACGGTGCCCGTGTGCGTGCCGCAGCCGAGGGTGGCGACGTTCTCGCGGCCGAAGCGCTCGCGACACAGCTGGCCGATGTTGACCTCCTTGCGGCGCGTGCCCATGCTCGTGAAGCGCGCATCGCCGCAGTGGGAGTTGTGGGCCCAGACCACGGCCTTGCTGCCCGCGGGCCGACTCTTCAGCACGCGGCGCAGCGTGTCCACCATGTGCGTGTCGCGCAACGTCCACGACGAGGCCGAGCTGTAGTACATGGCCTTGTAGTAGCGCTCGGCATCGCGCACCAGGTACGCGTTCTGCTGGCCGCTGTGGTACTCCTCGCCGTCGTGCACATCTTCGGAATACTCCAGCCGCCGGGCCAGCAGGTCGCGCAGCATCTGCACCACCCCTTGCTCGCAGTCCGCCAAGCCGCGCAGCGAGGCCAGCCCGTACGCCGTGGGGTCCTCCACCCACGGTTGCAGGCAGCCGTAGCGGCGGCGCGCGTCCTTGCCCGCGGCCGGGTCGATGCGGTCCAGGTAGTCGATGACCGCCTGAATCGACGTGCCCATGCTGTACAGGTCGAGGCCGTAGAACCCGGCCTTCTGCGCGGGGTCGGTCCGCGTCGCGTTGCGGTCGCGCATCCATTCGACCAGGTCCTGGGTCTCGCGGTTGCGCCACATCCAGGTCGGGAAGCGTTTGAAGGGCTCATGCGCGTCATCCCCGCCCTGTCGGATGCGGGCCTGGGGCCCCGGGCGCTGGCGCACGTACCGGTCGATGGATTCCGCGTCGGGCCAGTCGGCTTCCACGGCGACGATGTTGAAGCCGTGGTGCTCGATCAGGCGCTTGGTGATCTCCGCTCGGGCGGCGTAGAACTCCGAGGTGCCATGCGTGCCGTCGCCGAGGAGGACGACGCGGTAATCGCCGAAGGTGTCGAAGTGGGACCCAAAGGTTGGGTCGTGGATGGCGGGCAGAGGGTGGGCTGCTGCGGTGAAGAGGTCTTGGAATTGCGACATCTTGGGGGTCGGTTTGAAGTATCGGGCTAGACGCCAGAGCTTAGCTGTCATAGGTGAATCAGCCCATTTTTGGGAATGTATTTGTTATGCTGGGAGTCTATAGGATGCGTGCAGAGTACGCGTAGAGTTGATATACTGGGACGCCGTCCGATTAGGGTTCGGCAGCGGCGAGATGAGATCACCACCGAGTCATCGTGACTTGATCTTCGCCACATTCCGAGCAATGAATAAGGATTGTCCACAAGTAATATGTGCCCAGCTACTGAGTACAGTGTTCGATGATCGACAGGATAGCTTACATCCTGTATCTTGATATCAATCCTCCAACCCGCCGATCCCTTCCCCAACCTAATCCTTCACCATCACCACCATCTATACCCCAGACCAGACCCCAGACCCCACACTCCAACACCACCGACACATAAAATGCCCCCCACCGCAAAAAGACTTACAACCTTCATCCGCGCCCAAGAATCCCTCTACGGCCCCATAACCACCATCCCCGACCCCTCACAATGGACCCCGCCCGCGCAGTCCGGCGGCCACCTCGGCCGCTACCTCTGGACCGACGCCTTCGGCGTCCTCAACTTCCTCACCCTGCACCGCGAAACCAGCCTCCACCAGCCCCCACCCCCCCAGAAAGACCACTACCTCACCCTCGCAACGACCCTAATAGCCGCCGTCCACCGCACGCTCGGCACCACGCGCTCCTCGCCGCCAACCCCCCTCCCGCACGCCACGCCCACCAACCCCCTCGCCGGCGGCCTGCGCATCGGCAAACCCCACGCCCACGGGCCCGACGGCGACGGCCAGTACCACCATTACCTGACGCTGTGGATGTTCGCGCTGAACCGGACGGCGGTGGCCACGGGCGACAGAACGTGGAACGATCAGGCGGTCGCGCTGGCGCGGGCGATTCATCCGCACTTTGTGCGCGGCGGCGGCGGCGGCAGCGGCAGCGGCAGCGGTAGCGGCAGCGGTAGCGGCCAGCACCAGCAACCAAAGATGGTGTGGAAAATGGACGTCAACCTGGAACAGGTGCTGGTGGCGTCGGAGGGGAACCTTGATCCCGTGGATGGGTGGGTGGTGTTTCGGTTGCTGCGGGCGACGGATCGGTGGTTTCGGCGGCGGGATCTCCAGGAACAGGAACCAGACGACAGGTTGTTGGAGGGCGAGATTGAGGATTATCGGAGGATCCTCCAACGGAAGGGGGAGGGGTTCGTCTCGCATGATCCCTTGGATCTGGGGATGGCGATGTGGACGGCGCATTGGTTTGCCGACACTAAAGGGGAGGAGTGGGCGGGGAGGCTGGCGGGGGATTGTTTGGGGACGGTTGGTATGGTCTTTCCTTTCCGTTTTGCTAGAGGTTATGCTGATGCTGGAGGGCACATTAGATGACTTGTTCGAGAGACGACACTATCTCGACCGGGACCTCCGCTCGCGGTTGGCCTTCCGTGAGTTCGGGACGTGTCTGGGCCTCCGATGCATGGCGGAGCAGTCGTCCGATAAAGACCGCGCGGTCGAGCTGAAGAGTTACGCGGAGCGGATTGTCGAGTGCTGGGATCCGTACGTCTGGATGGAGACGGGTCGCAATGCGACGCCGGAGGAGTTGCGGCCCATCACGCGGGTCATGTATGCCGCCGCGTTGATTCCCGGAGGTGAGTGGGCTGAGTGAGGCCTTTGCAGATCCTTATTGACAGTTGACAGCATTTTGTCGCGGCTATTTCGGACCGGAACCCGTAGCTTGACTGGTTAAACAACCAGAGAGTAAGATAATTCGCAACAGATAATTACCTGATGCGTTGAGGTAAGCGTACTCTACAAACTCAGTCAACCATGCAGTCTCAAAGAAATGCAAGCATGTACAGTTTGTATATCACAGCCCGAGGAAACTCCCCTTCCTCAAAAATCCATCATTCGATCAACGCCCCACACATGAAATCATAAAACCCGACCCTCTAAACCCCAGGTAGCCCCACAATCTCCCTCCACGGGTTATTCGTCCGAGGGAGAATGTAAATCGTATAAACAGTGCCCAGGGCAATCAGAAGGCCCGTTACCTGCAGAGAAACCATTAGCTCAACTCTATCCTTACCCTCAAAGGATGTACACAATCCAGAATGCCCTTGAGAAAACATACCTTCTCAAACCAAGTATGAAACCAAATAGCGGTCATCAGCAACATCCACATCCCTAACCCCACGACCGTCCACGCCAACCGGACCGACCACACGGCGAACACATCCTGCCCATCAGCTTCCCCATCCTTATCAAGTACATCCGTCTTCTCCCCTTCTTCCTTCTCCTTCGAACCAACCTCCTCCCGGGACAGCCTGGCGCCCCAGACCTCAAATCCAATCAACGAGGTCATCAACACCAACATGAACACATGTCCACTGACATCGTGCCCGCCGCGCCACGCGCCGCCAGCCCCTTTACACGCCACCGCCGTCGCCAACGTCCCGAAGTCAGTGGTGGTGTACGGGTTCTCCGCCTCCGGGATCGCCCGCTCGCACTTCCCGCCCGTCAGCACGAAGCTGCGGTCGATCAGCGCCGGGCCGAAGAACCACTGCGTCGTCAGGTACCACGCCGTTGTGGCGAGCGCGTACCGGATGACGGCCTGCGTCGTGCGGCGGGACCGGTGCGCAGCAGCGGCGGTAGGGTTACCGCTGGCGCCGCGGCCACCGCTCCCGGTGTAGGCGGATTGGGTGAGGAGGAGCAGGACGAAGGCGAAAGTCGTCCAGAGCCAGCCGATCTTCACGAAGTAGAGGTTGAAGACGTTGTCCTTGCGCGCGAAATAGTTGACGGGCTTGACGGCGGCGGGAAACGAGAGGTGCAGGTCCGAGGCGATGGTTGGGGCGAAGGGGGATGGGTGGTTCTGGAGTGGGCTGCTGCTGCTGGCGCTGGCGCTCGGATCACGGCTGCCGTAGGCGGTTGGCGAGAGGACGGAGAAAACAGACCCCACGACCAGCGTGAGAGGATAGATGAGGAGAGCGGTGATCGGTGGTTGGCGCGATCGTGATGTGGTCGGGGTCGTTGCTGCTGCTGCTGCTGCTGCTGCTCCTCCAGCGGGAGAAGGGGGATTGCCCGCGGATGGCATCGTGGTTTTTTTCTCTTCTGTTGTCCGGGTGATTGTACTCGTCTTGTGGTGTCTTGTTTTGGAAATGAATAGGAGATGAATGAAAAGGTTCTATGTGAGGGAAATTAGGAGAGAATGCATATATTCGAGGGATCAAGGGACAATGGGATGGAAACAAGGGAAGATGGTCTGAAATGATGAGGATACAAAAGCAAGAGGAAATGCAAATGGCGGAAGTCAGATGACGTCGCTGCCTGCCTTCCGTTCGCCCCTAACCAGATTCTTCCAACAACCACAACCACAACCACCGGCACAGCCACACCGGCGACTATTACGCTATCATTACAATACATTGGATCTACTGATGTCCTTGTTGACAGCATCATAGTCATTAAATTCGTAGTCTCTACGACTTGTGAAAAATGTATACATCATCTTCATCTGCAGGCTGAAGCTGAGGCCCAAAGCCCTTCACCTTCTTCCGCTGCTCATTGCACCTTCGGGAGCGCCGCGTGAAGGGGCAGCTGACGCGAAGAGCTACCAACATGGACCTTCTTCGGGTAAGAAGTGATGACCCAGTCCTGAGCGGCAACGTCCCAGTTGGACAGATCGCGGCGGGTCAGGGTAGTCGTCCACACTGTCTCCTCGGAGGGCTTGAGGGTGAGGCGGTCGAATTTGCGCAACACAACCTTGGGCTCATTAGGTCCACCAAGGGAAACATACTAGCAAACGGTTAGCGTCTGGAATCAATACTGCACGAGGATCTAATTACCAATTGAGGTACGGCATCACCGGCAACACGACCAGTGTTCTTGACTGTCACCGAAACACGGATCAACTCATCGTAGAGACGCGGGTTACCACCGAAGCCACCGCCGGCAGGCAGAACGGGCTGAGGAGAGCCATCAGTAGCACCCTCCGGGACGTGCTCCGCGGTGTCGACACCGTAGTACGGGTCGCCAGATGAGGCCTTAAGGTCCGTGGAGTTAAGCCATGGGTAGATGAATTTGCTGATTCTGGTCAATCCCTCAGGGTACACATAGTCCGAGGCATTGCCGACTTGCCCGAAGGTGGGAGCGGCGCCAGTCTCAGTGGCTACTTGAGCGTTGGAGGAAGCGTTGAGAACCTGGATGTGAAGGCCAGAGTAGTTGAAAGTGGTGTAGCTCAGACCATGTCCGAACTCGTAGATCGGGGTCTCATTGCGCTTGTCGAATCCGCGGTAGTCAATGAAAACACCTTCCGAGAAATCATCTTGGGGAGCTCCGTTGCCGTTGTTGAGCTCACGGACAAGGTAATCACCGTACGCCTCCCTCGTCTTGCCCCAGGTGAATGGAGACTTGGCGCCCGGGTTGACGCGGCCGTAAAGCACATCAGCCAGAGAGTTGCCAGACTCCTGGCCAGGCAAACCCGCCCAGAGGATGGCAGTGACGTTGGGGTGGTCATACCACTCGTCAACCAAAACAGGTCCCACGGAGTGAATGACAACGATGGTGTTGTTGCAGTTGTTCGCAGCAGCCTTGATGAGGTTGTCGCCGTTCTTCCAGAGGGTGAGGTTGTTGCGGTCGCCCTCGTTTCCATCCACAGAGATATAGCCCTCTCCCGAGTCCGAGTTGACAAATACAAGAGAGACGCTACAGAGACACTTGTCAGTTTACTAAAAACCAAAGGTTGGGGGGACAATATGGCCGACAGGACTCACCTGGCTTGTTTAGCGAGGGTCTCCACCTGGCTCAGCGCCCAGTTGTCCGTGATGGCATAGACGCTGCCCTTGTGCTTGAGCACCTCGGCTTGAATAGCCTGCTCAGGGGTCACGAGGTATGGGAATTCGGCAGTGCCGCTACCCCAAGCCATAGCAAGAGTGCCGTTGTCACAGCCACGGTCAGAGCAGCCATTGGCACCGTATGAGTTGGATCCAGCATCTTCACCTAGGATCGCAACTTTGCGCTCCTTTCCGGTCAGCGGCAGGGCATTGTTGTTCTTCAGTAGAACAGTGCTGTCTGCCCCCAACTTGCGAATAACCTCGCTGTGGTTGCGCTGCACATTGACGAAGTGATTGACCTTCTCATAGGGGCCTTCCTGAGAGTAAAAATACTTGAAGCCGTATTCGTCGCGAGTCCAGGAGCTGAAGTTAGGCGGCTGGTACAGGCGGTCGCGGCCAACCTTGTAGTAGGCAGCCATGATACGGACAGCCATGTCGTCAACGCGCCACTGCGGGACGGTACCGTTGAGAACAGCAATGGTCAGGTTTGTACCCCAGAAACTAGTGGCAGAATCGAAGGTGATATCACCAGGCATGGACATATCCAAGCCGGCCAAAGCAGAACCAACACCACTGTGGTGAGCACCCCAGTCAGACATCACGAAGCCCTGGAAGCCGAGCTCGGCCTTCAGAAGCTTGTTTAGAGTGTAACTGTTCTGGCAACCGTAGCTGTTGTTGATCTGGTTGTAGGAACACATGATGGCGCCAACGCCGGCGCGAACGGCATCCGCGAAGGGCCAGAGGTACATTTCATGAATGGTCTTGTCATCAACGTTAGAGCTGACCGTGTCGGAGATGTTGAAGCCGTAGCCTGCAGACTCTGAGACCTGGCGGAAATGCTCTTGCTCATTGAGAATGTAATGCTTGGCTGTCGCCACGACACCGGCGTCTTGAATACCCTTAATAGTTTCCGCAAAGAGCACGCCAGTAAGAGCCGGGTCTGGAGAGAAACCTTCCCAGTTGCGACCTCCATCGGGGCTCCTGCCGAGGGGACCCGCGGCCGGTCCCAATTGAACATCAATTCCTTTGTCACTGAATTCTTGGCCCATAGCCTGACCACGTAGATAAGCAAGGTTCTTGTCCCATGTCGCAGCAACGTTGACACCAGCAGGGAAAGCCGAATTGTAGTCACCTGTCGGACACATTGTTAGCAAGAGTGTCAGCGGCCGCGCTTGAGTTAGATCAGGTCTTACTATCACGGATTCCCAAGGGACTGTCCTGGAGACACATGCCACCGATGTTCAGTCTAGACAGCGGTCGTCAGTTAGCCAACTGAACACATGTTTTTATCCGGGGGTCCTACCTTGGAACACCACCAGTCTGACCGACGCACTTCTCCAGCTCCCATCTAGAGGCTCGTTAGCAGGCGATTCATCTCGCAGCAGCTGTAGTGTCATTACCCAGTTCCGGTGGTCAGGTTGACCTTCTCATCCAGAGTCATCTGTGATACAATGGCCACTGCACGCTGGTAGGCTTCCGCCCACTCTCCCTGGCCATTGGCCCACGGGGAGGGATAGAAAGGAGGAGAGAATGCCAGTTCATCCTGTAGAGCACGAATCGTCAGCCTCACGTCAAATATCTAGAAGCAGCGAGGACGTAAAAAAAGCCAACATACAGCGCTGACGACTGAGGCAGCCGTCAAGGCAGCCGCCTCAAGCCAACTGAGCTTCATGATGGCGTAGAGGTATCTGAAGAAAGAGGAAGCAACGAGCTAGCCAGCCACACAGCTTGCGCTCTCGAGAATTTGAGAAAGATGTCGATGTAGTACAAAGGGGAAGGACAAACAAGACCGATCAGCAGGGAGGGGGGAAGGGGGAAGATATAAATAGCCCCAGCAACGAAGAGAGGGGGCGCCACAGCTATGAGAGAGACTGGCGACGGTGAATACAATCAACCAGAACCTCTTGGCCTATTTTTTCAATCTGCGAAGCTACCCACCCACGATTGAATTGAATGTCTCGCAAACAAGAAGTCAAAGTAAGCAAGCACCTGGTCGGCCGTGGACTGGGCCAGTGACGAGTGGTTCCATTGGCTTAGCTATGAGCATGGGGATCGACAGGGAGAAAGCCAGATCGAGGCAGAGACAGGCGGCGAGGGAGAGAGCATGGAACGGTCGGAACTCAGGCAAGTCAAGCGATTGTATTTGCCGTGATTTACTCCTGTTGGGGAGGAAGCTGCTGCTGCTGCTGCTGCTACTCCTCGCGCTCCTGCGTCCATGCACTCGGCTCGGCAGCATCACCTGCACACCGTATAACACTTCGATTCATCGAGGAATTTCTCATTCTGGAGATGGTTCGCAGCCGAAGCGCAGAAAACCCCAACCGGAATGACCGAACCCCACATCAACAGAGTCCAGCCATCTGGGAATGACGGAATGAGGTGGATGGGGAGATGGGAAATGAAAACAAGTGCCCAAGTTGACTGTAGTAGTTCCAGTAACAAGGGACTAAACTAAACAAACTAACCTTAGTTTAGTTCACACACTGGCTGGTAAGTTACCGCTGGTACCGCTGGTACTGCTGTGGGGCACACCCTTGGGGTAATTCCGTTACGCTGTTTACACTCCGATCCCTTTCACCAACTCATCCTCCCTGACATGAACGACATGAACCTCAAACTGCCCTATGTCCGATGATGTCTTTCCGGCAGGCTAGTAGAATGCGGTCAGTCGAAAGGTGCCTGACATTCTTAACTGAAACCAAAATAAAAATAAACAAACTTATCACTCGAGCCCAGTCTGGCGTATTCCGATCAGCTTCGGGACACAATCGGCTGCCGTACGGGAGACAGCTCAATTACGGGGTTTACAAGTTACAAATCTCGGTCAAATAGCGGACTTGGAAGACACCGAAAAAGCTTGGGAGCAGAATGAGATGGAAGGTAGTATTGCTTTCGATGGACAACAAGTCAAGAGCTGTTCCCCGCATCGTCATTATCAAGCAAGCGATGGCTGACTATAGTGGAACCTGGTATAAGTCAGTCGTCTAGTGGAATGTTACGGTACCGTCCACCGTCTCCCCAGCCATTCCCCGCATTTTCACTTCTGCATCCCGCTTGTTGGTCAGCCGCCCGTGGAAAAGAAGAGGGAAAAGAAACCTGGAAAAAGCATCAATGGAGCTATTCAATCTTCCAGTCTACTGGGAATAGATTAATGAATCCCCGATGCGGTAGCCGACCAGTCGCCTCCCACGACATCGTGGTCCGTCCTTGGACCTGCCAACAGAGAAAAAACAAACAGAACACTGCCGAGGGGTCAACAACAACACACTGACCGGGCAAAAATAAAAAAAATGTCATGCTCGTTTTTCCCGCCATGGGCTGACGGCGCCTTACATCCTTCGCCCGCAAGGGTCAGTCAGCCCATAGAGCCACCACTTCTTCCGTCGCAAGTCAAGACATTCATTCCATCCCCCTCCCTCCGTCCCCTCTCGGTGCCCACAGCCTGGAGAAGTCAAGGGCAAGTCGGACTGCCACTGACTTGCTCGGGTCCCCGTTGCGAGGCAAAAAGCGGCAAGAACTCCGATGGCATTGTGTATGGCCTCCACGATCAGGTCATAGTCTCTCTCGGGATTTTGTCTTCTTCCCCCCGGAAAGTGGAGTCTATTTGTCCTTCGCTAAGCCTTGACTGGTCTTCTGCCATGGATCGTCTCCCATTCTTCCCCAATCAGGGTTCTCGGCAGTCGGCATTGAGACTGCATGGATTTCTCATCTATGAGTCAGTAAACCTACGGTACGGTCTGACGACATTTCCCCGTGATTTAGCCAGATCTAGGGTTAGCTTGGGAACTCTCTCAAACTCGGCCTGGTGCTCTGGTGAGAGGATGTAGAGCATCTGGACTGAGGTTATTCCCGCTGCGCATTGACTCCGAGCAAGCCCAGCCAACACCAGGCTTGCATTTGAGATGTGCTGTTATCTTCCCAATAGACTAGAGGGCAGCGATGCAGGCATGCAGGCATGCAGGCACTGCGATCATACGAGCCTATTCAAAGGATAATGTCCCGACAATTTACCCAGACAACTTGAGAGTAGACCCTCTCTCGCAGTTCGTCAAAATTTCCCTGTCGGATACCCTGCGGACTGTGCTCGGTCCGCGCAGGAAATTTGGGGCGGGCTGGGCTGGGGTTGCGGGGAAACCCTCCGTGGGGGTCTGTTTTCTTTTTTCCCCCCTTCATCGTCATCCCGAAGACCACGATTCCGGGACTAAACAGTCCCACACTAAGCGACTGCCCAACAACCCGACAATAGTGTCTAGCACTTTCTAGCCTCGACAGAAGCCGTACCCGTACTTGGAAAGTGGAGAGTATTTCTCCGTTTTCTCCACATATCTTTCGTTCGTATTCTGGCAAGGGAACAATCTAATGTACAGTACTACTACGTATGTAGTCTACCCTGCCCCCCTCGTGGACTGTCCAGGGTTCTCCGCTATTGCCTGATACCCCGGACTGCGAAATCCGGCGCGGGCAGGACACCACCCCGGCCGATAGCGGACCCGGCACCGGAGGGTCCTCGACTGTGACGAAGAAAACATGATTGTAGCGCAAGTGCCCAGGAGCATACCCATTCTGTGCTTTCTCGGATCCTTGAACTGTCCATGTGGTCATGTTTTCTATGGCAGCTTTTAAAACACAAATCCCAGCTGCCAAGATCCTCGGTTATCTAGAGATTGTAGTCCTCCGCGGTATACTGCCGGGTCTTTCTGATGGCAATATCAAGTACATTGGACCATAGTATGCGAATCCATCTCTGTAGTCTCGCATAGACACTCTCAAAACCTTGTAAAACTCGGCCACCATCATAGCTAGAACCCAACTATCTCTCGCACCCTCAGCATCCGCATCCAGGATCAGAAGTACTGCCAGACCAACGACGCTAGAAAGCAACACCCTCTGCGTTCGAATCCAAGAAATAAAGTCTATGCTAAGCCCATCCAGCACTTTTCCAATCTATCCCTCACCGGACTGCATCAAAGCCCCTGCACTCGCATTTACATCCCGAGCCCTCTTATCATAACCCAAAACCCGCAGACCAAAGCCTGTCCCGTGGAACACACCCAGGTGAAGTATCCAAGCACAAACAACTGAAGATCAGGTACAGTACAGTACATACACCCGTCCCTCTCCCCGAGAAACCAACCAACCGACCCTCCGAGCCCCAGAATCGGCATCTTTGCTCTCGCCCTTTCCCCGGGATCTGCAGACTCAGGTGACTTGGGTTCCCGGGTTCATTCGCCGCGTCCTTCCCCAAGCAGCATGTGCAGAGCAGCACAGTGCAGCACAGTGCAGTGCAGTGCAGCCATGCCACCCATGCACCCTGATCCTTTTCCGATATCCTTCTCCACCCGACTCGTCTGACTCCCGAGATGAAGGCGTCGTGGCGTGTAGGAGATGGCCTTCTTGTCCCGAAGGACGGAATACGATCTACTCTCCGTCGTGGTGTGTTCGTTCGTCCGAGTGACCTCGGTTTTCGAGGAGTACCATATCGGACACAAGGGACCTAGATAGTCCCCCGAGAGAGTGCCCCCTCCCTCCCCTCCCTCACCTTGTTGCAGTCTTAGCGCAGCCCCAGCAATCCGTTTTCAAGTGCAGGATTCTTCGAGTCACGGGTAAGATGCGATTTATCTATCCCCATCGCTCGAAGAGCGGACTTTTTCTTGAAGGATTTATCGAGATATGGTCCCTGCGCAGGCTGTTCTACACAGCCCACTTCTACTGACCCAGGCCGGCAGGGCAGAGGATTTGTTTTTGGAAGCATATTGACAAGGTATGCATATACCTTCAGAAGGCCAGCGTGATGGAATGTACCCCTATCCCCAAGATATCGGGCTACTTTAGAGCATGGTCTTTGATCAGTAGGAAGTCGATGTTTCTAATTTCTTGACTTCGGATGGCGTGCTGTATTAAGTCTTATTGTCCTGAATCCGAATTCCCTCCAGCAGGTAGACCTTGCGGTACTATAGGTCACATGCCATTGAAGTATGTCACTTGGTCACGCTGATTGGTCGACAGCCCATCTGGCCGCTGTACGCACTCAGAAGAGCTTCAGGGATGCATGCTCTGTGATTGAAGACAGCACACTAAAGCAACCATCTCTCACTCGAGAGTTGAGCTTTCAGATCAGCATAGCCTCAATGGGGCATAGAAGCGGAAGATACACCACCGATGTTTCCAGAAAAACCAATACCAGCGCTCTCAAAAAACCCGGAGGCATGTAGTAAGAACGAGCGACACCATGATGAAACCTCGATTTCTCAAGCCCGGAACCCATGCTACTTCTAATTCTCCAGTGGTCCGCTATCTTGGACCGCTTTTTTGCTCTATAGATCTTACTGGCCATGGTAGCCGGTATCCTCCTGGGAAACTTTGTCCCCATTACTAGTCGAGCCCTGGAGAAGGGCAAATTCATCGGAGTCTTTGTACCGGTTAGTAAGGAAAGCTCCGGCTGGCTAGTAGGCAAACATGTTGCATTCGTTAGTTATTCTAGGTATAGGCAGATAATATCATGCTGACGAGGAGTACCTAAACGCAGCAATCGGTCTCCTAGTCATGATGTGTCCCATCTTCAGCAAGATCCGGTTCGAAACGCTACACCGGTCGTTCCAGGAGAGAGAGCTATGGATCCAGATCGGGTTCAGTATTGTGGCCGATTGGATCATTGCGCCTTTGCTCATGGTATGCATCTGTCCTCCTCGATATTGACGTGACTTAAGACACGTGCTGATAAATATTGGTGCTGGGCCGCAGCAGGGTCTGACCTAGGCATCTCTACCAGAAGAGAGAGTATGAGAGAGGGACTAATTGGAATTGCGCATTGCATTGCCAAGGGAAGTACACTTCCGGGACACAATGCCATGCAGTGCAGGATTGACGGACGCAGGTTCTTGTCTGGACAGGATTTGCAGGCAGTGGTGGCGAATACTGCGTCATCCTCGAGGCGATCAACTCCATACTGCAGATTGTCGTGCACACAAAGCTGCACTGCGGCATGTAATAACTTCGAGTCGACGATCGCAGTGGCAATTGCCACATCTGGTGTGGATAGTGATCAGGCGTTGGCTGCTACCGTTGGACCACTGGTTGAGGTGCCGGTGTTGGTGGAAATGGTGTATGCAGTTCGGTGGTATGCCAGGAAGCGGAGGTGGGAAGCGTAAATCATAGACTTTTTTGTCCTTCAATTTGATAAAATACACCCTAGAGCTATCCGTGCCAGCTAGGGAGCTGACCCCTGGGAGTCAGCTGTAGAGGTTACAGAGGCAACTTAGTTGTCGCTAATCTCGTCAAGAACTTGGAACAGAATCCGGTTCTGTACTCTGCAGCCCTCCTCCGTGGTGAGACCCTTGGAGAAGCCCGCCCAAAGCTTGCGTCGAATCTCGTCTAGCTCGACACCCCGCGTGTTGTACTGTGTGATGAGTTCGTCGGCGATGGCGCAGAGAGTGGTATTCAGGACATCGCCACTTTTACTATCCGGCCATGACGTTCCGGTTTGATCGGGTAGGCAGCCACACACTGACTGGCCGTGGGATTTCTCTCGGTCATTCTCCATCGACTGACCCTTGATCTTGACTGTAGACTCTCTCGATTTATGGGCCGGCTTCGAGTCTGAAGGTGGCGATAATCTAACAGTATCAGGAGCGGTCTCAGAACGACAAGTCTGCTGGGCACGGCCACGACACGATTGAGCCTCCACGCCAGACTCAGATCGAGGGAGACTGGGAATGGCGATCTTCTGCGTGGGGCTTGGGTCATCCCCGGTTTTTTCCAGATACTCTTCGATTGCGGTGGACGATAAGCCCACATCCGACAATAAACTTCTCAGTCTCTGATTCTCTGCCTCGAGGCCTTGGACCGCCAGTCGATGATCAACATCGTTCTGACGGATTCGCTCCTGTAGAGAGATTAGTTTCTGCTGTAACTCGCGAGTATGCGCCAGTCTTTCGGCACGGCTCTTTCGTTGATTCTCTCGGATGCGTGCGAGTCTATCTGCAACCTGCGTGTGATGTTTGGTTAGCACTGTACTGCATAAAGCCTTGACAGACGGAACGGGATTGCTAGATACCCTGGGCGAATCCATTCTGCTGTGAGCCAGTGTGTGATATCTAGGAAACAGAGGATTTTGAGGGGCCAAGAATCATAAATCTACAGACCGTGCAAGGAGCTACGGAGTACGGAGCAGGTTCACAATAATTATGACTTCATTAAGATGGTTTCCCAACGGCGTTTCTGGCACAAACGGAATGCCGTAGTCGCCCCCGCGCCTCGGGGTCCGTTGCCCGATTAGGACGTGTAGGGCGAATAATTCGGGAGGTCTGGAAAAGATTGAAACGAGATAAGGGATTTTGGCAGCAAAACCACCCTGTAACCGACCCACTGGCTGGAGGTCATAGCTCGGAAACTTTAGCACGGTATCAGATTAGATATGGATGTCCTTGAGATTTGGATTTAAGAGATCACGTTTGCTCGTCAAGGAAACATACAAGTACTAGTAGTATAGTCTGCTACAATACAGTATGTACAGTACATACCTTACACGCCAGATGGAAGATGATCTCATGGAGCGATTGTGCAAAAAGATGTCATCTCCCCACACAATGCTCAGGACCCAAGGCATCGATTAGCTTATCCCCATATGACAGATCTAGCATAACAGTCAATCATCAATGATTCCATGGAACAGTCATGGAGACCACAACTCGGCTATGGAGTGGCTGCATGCAACCTGCACGACGTCATTAGCCGTCCTCGGGTCAACCAACCCGTTCATCGTTCGTTCGTTCATTCATTCATTCATTCATTGAGCGCTCAATCTCCTTCCAACTCCCTCAATACCATCAATTGACCACGACCACGACCACGACCACGACCACCACCCTCGCCTCCACCTAACGCTTCTTCCTCCTCATCACCCACAGCACCAATAATACCACCCAATTGCCCCAACCAACCAACCAACCAACCAACCAACCATGGTCTCAACCCGCCATCACCCCGACGACTTCCCACCACCGCCCACCTCCCCCTCGACAACAACCCCATCCCCATCCCCAAACGCCAACAACAACAATAACAACACCTCCAAAAAATGGGTCCACACCCCCTCCACGCCGATCACGCTGTGGTTCCTCTTCTCTGTGCCCCTGGTCCTCTGGGACGCGGGCTACGTCCTCCTGCGCCCGCACTCCATGCCGGGCCACCGCCTGCACTCGCCGCTGTGGACGCCCTACGCGCTGTACGGCACGATCGACTACATCTACGGCTGGCCGGCCTTTAATGCCCGTAACGGCTTCACCGCCGCGCAGACCGTGCTGAACCTGCTCGAGAGCGCCGGGTACCTCTACTACCTGGCCGTCGTCTACCGCCACGGCACCAGCCTGACGGCCAACGGCCGCGGCGGGCAGCGCCACCCGCACAAAGGGGTGGGATGGTTCTTGCGGGAGACGAAGGTCGTGGCGGGGCGGACGGGCGCGCTGGCGCTGCTCGTCGCGTACAGTGCGTCGGTGATGACGGTGGGGAAGACGATTCTCTATTGTGGGTTGCGCTCGGCCCCCGGCCCCCCTCTTCCCAGCTCTCCGAGGGCTTTGAGGCGGGGAGGTTGATGGGACTACGGATTGCTGATCTTGATATCTATTGACAGGGCTGAACGAGGTGTTCTCCGGGTTTGAGAATATCGGTCACAATGATCTCTGGACCTTGGTTTTCTTCTGGATTATTCCTAAGTAAGTTGATCTTTTTTCCCCTGCCAATCTTACGGAGGGGGGATAAGGCTGACCAATTGGTTGTAGTGGTCTGTGGATTGTCTTCCCTAGCTATAATATCTATATCCTTGGAGCGGAGATCGTGGCAGCGTTGGAGACCTCGGTTCCGCGGCAACGGGTCGGGCGGCCCAAGTCGTCGTAGCATCGGTTGGACCAGGCGGATGAGACTTTCACGGAGGTTACATCTGATTGTTTCAGCTTAGATTAAAGCTGTATGGGGGTGGGATATGTGACGGGGAGGGTCTGTGTAAGCAGGTCTAGTCTGGCATCATTGATCATCCTTTAGCGATTCCTATATAAACATTTCAAGTAAGAATTCATGAAAGCTCGAAGAGCCTGGATTTCCACGACTCCCTATAAATGTCTTAGTGTTTCACTAGGAGAAGAGCCGCCCCAGGCTTTTTGACAGCTTGCCCCAGATCTTATCATCACGCTTGAACTGTACTCTGTATAATGTGATAGATCTCAACTTTCACCACCACCTCGATCGCTGCTCAGTCCTTCTATCAAACAAGCGTTTCGACCACCGCGTCCACACGTGATCCATCTTTCAAGAGCGCATCTGCTTCTGTTCTTCGTACAATGCTTGGTGTTCTTGCTCACATCTCCTGCCAGCAGAGTTGATGAATACACCATACCCAGTACCTTATTAAGCACATTTTTAGGCAAGCAAGGCAGCGAACCTAGGTGATGGCCTTGAGGCTTTCAGAGGACTCTTTTACCTCAGAACATCTTCTATGTATGTATGTACTGTACCTTACGTACCCTTCATGTGTGGTCCTACTGCTGGCTCTAATCTCTCATACAGACCGAAAGAATGAATCTTACCTTGGAAGGCGACACTGCCACTGTATTAGACGTTTCCCCTCTAGAGGAAAGAATGCAAACCCGCGGCGGACTTTGCACCTGCCACCTGCCACCTGCCACATCTAATGGGCTTCCTATTCGAAGATTAAGCGAGGGTCATCGTTCCTTCCTCTTTTGATCTACTCATGCTGGGTATAAGAACCCGCCCGCGCCCCCCTCTCGTCCTGTTCTTTTCTTTTCCTCTCCAGCTCTTTGATTGAGTGGTGGGGCTACCTCTATGGTAGCACCTAGAGCAGTTTTTCCATCCCAAGAACCATAAATACTTAGCTAGAGCAGACAATCTAAAGCCTACCAAAGCAGCATAGGTCATCTTTCCTGGCCGCCAAGCAAGACAGCCATCTTACTTAAGTTTGGACAAGAAGAAGACTAGCATCGTTCATTTGTTCCTAATCTCATTATTGCTATTGCATCGGCAAGAAATCACATCTTTCAGTATAGGGGCACGCCAAATCGAGTGTCCAAGGGGAGACACTCATATGCTTTAAGGTCATCTAGTTACTAAGATTCAACGCTGGCACCGCGACCGTTCGCGCCCCCCATCAATCCATGAGCCCTCGTGCGGGACAGAGACATATCTACGTCGTGATAGGGACCTACTATCTGGCATCACGGGGAAATAGCTCAAGCGATCTTAGTGCAAAATCTAGAAGCTCTCGCTGAGGTCAGTATTGTGAAGGAAAGGTCAGGCAAGCAAGGAAAAGAAAACTTTCGATTCTCTAGAGGCCGGACGTGGCAAAACACCTACAACTTCAATGGAAACCGGGCACTCTACATAGTAGTTGGAGGGCATGTGAAGCACCTTGTTCATCAGACTTCTTGATTTACCCCCTATAGTTCCACTCAAAGATAGCCACCAGCACAAAAGCCGAGCTACCGTAGCTCAAACTCCCACCGTCTGCCAAATGGCTATCCACGAAAGGATGAGAAGATGAAACAGCCAGAGTCCCTGCACGTGCGCTCAAAAGATCTCATGGGCGGCGATGGCTTCGAGTTCTTCCAGCCCGTCGGTTCTCATACCGAGGACGCTGATGCGCTTGACATGACGGTTCCCGGGAGATCGCCAGTGATTTAGAGTAAAGCCTTCGACATGACAGACGGAGCTCGCGCTATCCCGGTTGATCTAGGTTTTTATTGAGGTCTGTGCCGAGTATAACGTCTTTCCCTGTAGGAACAAAGGACAGTCAGCCACCAATTCGACAGGGAAACCGTAACGAAGCAAATCGTAAAGCTTGTTGGTGCCTTCTACTTGCATGGATCAATTTCTCTCTCCGCTTGTCTTCAGTCTCTGTGAGACACATTCAACATGCAACATGCCTATTCTTGAGCATGCCACATTTGGCTGCTGACGTGTGTTCGCTTAGGTTGACATTGACTGGTAGCTCAAGGTCCCCCTCCTGCTGCGCTCGAGCTCTAATCGAGGACTCGAATCTTGATTGATGAATTGAAGAAGGTCACTTGAATGAAACATGGATCCAGCTTTTGAGAGCCATTGGAACTGTTGGTAATGGTGATAGCGATGACGCTGTAGTTTGTGGAAGGTGGAAGAGGGGACTCGAAGGAGCTATAGGTAATAAAGGGAATGGACAGAACAAATCTTGAAAGGTAGGTACTGTACTGTGGATAGTCGACCCGAGGCCTCGTAGCTTGAAATTACCATTTACATGGTCCTATTATCACCATTCATTCATCCAACCCAACCCCTGTAGGTTGATTGAAAGCCTTGTTATTAACCTTATCAAACGATAGTGAAGCTATACCTAGAAGCTTACCTCGCCGTCGCCCCCCTTTCCCCAGACATCTCTGTTTATCTGTTCAACATTATTTGCATTACTTCTAGGCGTCTTTCAAGAGTTTAGAACATCGTTACATACACGCACCTCATGATCAGGCAAAGCCATGTCTCAACCTCAACTCTATGGGACAGGTCTTTTTACACTAAATCGCTAGAACTCACTGCCAAGGAAACATATTCCAGAAATCGGTTTGTACTTAATAAGAAGCTTCGTTCATTTATATGGCATCATTGGTAAGTATTTATGATAATTTCTTTGAACTTTACTGTCTTTACCGTTTCCCTGGGAATTCCCCCCTTCATGGTCCTTCCTTCCCTACAGTACCCTGTTCACCCAACTCAAGCAAGTGGGTTGATCTCTCATATGTATAACAGCTGGCATAGAATCGAGCGGGCTTACATAGCCAAACCCCATTGCACACGCCAATGCACAGCCATTATTTGCAATTCATACACTTTGAAAATCTTCTCTGTCGATCTCTACTGTCTAGATCGAACAACTGCGCACTTGCAGCGAAGGCGAACAGTGCGGAATTTCCGCGAGCAGCTCACCTTAACGGACACCCCTTATACAACCCTCTAACCACGTCTCCGAAGCCTACTAGTACATTCTTAGCAATCCGCCCAGGCCGATGGTATTTGAACACGGTGAAGTAAGAATGCATGTATGGAACGGGGGATGTTCGGACCGGACTAAGCAGGGTATCACACTCAGCTCATGACAGTTCTCTTAAAATCAAATCCCAGCAGGAGATGCTAATAAAGCATCATTGGTCTAGTGGTAGAATTCATCGTTGCCATCGATGAGGCCCGTGTTCGATTCACGGATGATGCATTAATGATTTAGTTTTTCTCTTCGCACACTGAGTCGTTTATTTCGGAAGGCGGAGAAAAGGCTGGAGAAGAAAAAACGAGCTCGACGCGGATCGAACCCGTGCTCACCCGCAAAAAGTAAGGGCTTTCTCTCTTTGATTAGGCAGGCCGTGCCAACTGTACCATACTGACAAAGTATGCCGGCAGTTGTTCACTTGACTTAACCTATATACCCACAAACCGTGTATTGCAGGCCAACAATGGATTTGCAAGAATCGGTTCATGAGTAGCGCTGACCCTCGAGGCTTTCTCTCTGCTCTATACAGAAATTCAAGGCGAGCCTAGATTACGTTCACCTCCCGCTTTTTGTCTTCAGTAGTACCAGAAATCCGGGCTGCGATGCTATACACAGTACTAAATCCACCAACCGCCTCATGTGGAACAGCCGTGTTCAAAACCACGTCCGATTCGTCTTCATAAAATCATAAAGTACCTTGGAAAGATGAAGAAGACTCCCACTCCCTGGTAGAATGGCTGCGCAGAAAGAATGCAGAGAGTAGTGCCGGATTCGAACCGGGGTAGTCCCCTAAAAAGAAATGTAGCTTCTCTTTGATTGAGCGTGTATCCAGCGATCTTGGGCCGTGCCAACTGTACAAAGCTGATGGACATTGACCTGAATAATAACCTGTAAGCCAGCAGTGTGCAGCCTTGTTGGACTCGGTTCTGCGATGAAAGTGTGCTTCCAGACAGGCTTCCAAGTTGGTTGCACAGTGCAACCTTGTATGATGAGCTTACTCCATACTTTGCGGGGTATTCTCTTCCCCCACTCGGAACTTGAAGGGGAGACAGCTGCAGGGATCAACCGGGGCCCAGAACTATACCAGAAATCTGACTACTATACTAGTCATATTTCACTGGTAGCTATTTACCATCTGCATATATACCGACCCCTACGGAGTACCGATCTCATAAAACAATAGGGCCCACATCCATGACGCTCGGTCACCATACATGTAATGTACGTGACAGTGAATCCTGAATCATCCGGAGCGGCCCGCCCATGAGGCGATGACTTTTACTTGTAGCGTGCAGTGAGGTTGCACGACACCGTGACTCTGCAACCATCAAACTCACAGGGAATACAGTCGGGTTAAATGGATGCCTCTCCCGGCTCTTACCAACCGGTGTATCCCCTCATGGCAACATTTTGACCAACGGGTCCGCTAAAGAGTCTGGAGGCATTTGATTGCGCATTAGTAATCGGCTAAGTTGTGAGGAAGGATGAAGGCGGCTAGTCACGCTAAGCAACTAGTCAGCGACCCTGCCAGTTCGATTTCCCCATACCCACACCCACCGCCATCTCTCGGTTTCAGCCCGTCGTCCGCAGAACCCCATAACTACCACCACCACCACCACCATCACCACCACCCCCCCAGCCTACACAACCAGACCTTGTGGCCCCGTCTTACCTCGCCCACAAGTCCCAACCCGCCAAACGATGATCTGGGTCTGGTTCTTGGGGTATCTGCACCCATCATGATGGCTCCCGAGTCCGACGACTCCCCTCTGGCCTCC